AATAGTTTTAAAATATTATACATATAGCTCTAACATACTCTTTTTGAAATGTCTATATAGTATTCCACTGAATGGATGTACCCTAATTTACTTAGCTTTCTATTAATCTTCATACAGAATATTTTCAGGTAGTATCCATACTGGTGTATATTATTTTCTTAGGGTATATCCTAGAAGTACTGCTTCAGTTAAATTTTGAGAAATTGTTCTGTAGAAAGGTTTTATTCATTTATATTTTCAGATTATTGCCATCAGTACTTGTGAAACTTTCTCCATAATCAAACAATGTAGAATTACATAGAATGAAAAGCGGAAGTGAACCCAAATCAGTTGAAAACTTAGGTCCATACAAAAACCTGCATAGAGATGTTTATAGCAGTTTTATTAAAAATTGCCAGAACTTGGGGTTCAGCCTGGTGACTCACACCTGTAATCCTAGCACTTTGGGAGGACAAGGTGGGAGGATCACTTGAGGCCAGGAGTTCGAGAGCAGCCTGAACAACGTAGCGAGACCCTGTCTCTACAACAAACATAGAAAAATTTAGCTGGGCGTGGTGGTCAGGAAGGGGACCAGATGTCAGGTCCGTGTTCCCTGGTTTTTGGTTCCCAGTACCAAAGAATAATTACTGGTACTGAGTCAATGGAGCAAATGAGCAGACCAAGCAGATGCAAGCAGGCAAAGTGCCAAAGTTTATTTAAGCAAGCCTAGTACATTCCTTCTCTGCAACGGGTCTATCTGCATGAGTGAAAGAGACCCTGAGTTTAATAAAATTTTTCCTTTTATGCTGATTCCTAATTTTATATTAAGTGAGGGGCAGAATATTCACATTTTTTCTTGGAAAGGGGTAGAGAATTCTCAGAATGGTGAGTCCTCCCCTTTTCTATCCTTGTAAGGCAATTTCCGGGGGTTGCCATGGCATTTGTAAACTGTCAGGGCATGATTTTTACTGTGTTAATGAGGGTAGTTCATTTAAGGACACTGTTACCTCAACTGTGTGCATGCTCCAAAGACCCCCTTTTATGGCCTTGATCATTTCTCCACTTTATGGTTTTTCTGCCTCCTTCTGGTCGATCAGTCCTTAGAGACCCCCTGTCATAGACCCAATATCTGTTTAGTCCTTGGAAGCCCCTTTGACATGTCATCTGTTCCTTCTTGAAAGCCCCCTCTGGTCAATTTGTTCCTCCTGTTGTAGACAAAACATCTCCTAGTGCCATCTGCTCCTCTTTCCCCCTCCTGATCCCTACCTAAGAGTGGCACATACCTGTAGTCCCAGCCACTCGGGAGCATGAGGCAGGAGGATCGCTTGAGCCCAAGAGTTTGAGGTTGCAGTGAGCTATGATGATGCCACTGTACTCTAGCCCAGCTAACAGAGTGAGACCCTGTC